ATGTGAAAGAGCACACAGGGTAGGGTCTGTACAGGTGATACCTTACTGGGCTGCAACTGTTCGAGACCAAGTCAGTAGCCATGCGGCAGCGTTTGGATTTTTTTTGTTTGTTTGTTTTTGTCTGTGTCTTGCAAAACTGTATTCTAGTTTGTGCATAATTCTTTTACCTACTTTTACGACAATGTACCTGACTCAAACCCACTAGCTGGGGTTATTATCAGAAACTAAGGTGTTATGTTACCGCACTGTGGCGTTACCAACATAAATATGCAACAACAAAAAGGAAACAGAGGTCTGACTTTTCACAGATCAGCAGGCAGAAAGAAATATGCTTCTATTTTGTTCTTGTCAAATTATTAGTGACTGAACAGTAAATGTAGTGAAAAGCTCATACCATGATCGTCAGTGAAATAAACATTTAAGTGAGTTCCACCATACGACCAAAATATCTTTTACACAGAAGTTTGAAGTCAGATGGTAAGTTACCACCTGTCTCGTGGTGTCTGTAATGTTACCTCAGCCAGTTTGATGTTGCCTTCAAGTTCAGATTAGTTCATGTTCATTCTTATCTGAACAGGGCCTTTTATTTTGTTGAGACCTGAAAAGTACATTTAATCAAGTGTAAATTTGTTTCATGAAATTAAAGTGCACATTAAGCTTTTCTGTCAAATGTTAGGTTCAAAAGCAGAGAGTCATAATGAACCTGAACCTGAGCTGAAGGCTAACTGAGCGACACAGCAAGGTTTTTGTATGTAATGCAGATGAAGTGATGCCGTCACTCTGGAAGATGCTTTCTACTGCTGGTGTTGGGGTCTCAACTGTAATCTGCACATGCACCACTAGATGTCACTGCATCCTGCACACTGGGCCTTCACATTTGAGCAAAATCCCCCAAACATGAATAAAAATATAAAGTATGCCAGTGCAAAAATGATGTTAGCGTCGTGAGAGTGTGGTTTGAGCATTTAAAGTTGATCAGAGTTTACAAACTTGTACTTTTCAGAAGTAAAACGTTTTCAGTCTCACATCTTCATGAACAACTTTGTGTCTATCATCAAGTTGTTCAAGTTGTGTTTGTCATATGCAAGGTTAACAAAAGGTTAACAAAAGGTTAGCAAAGGGTTAACAAAAGGTTAACAAAGGGTTAACAAAAGGTTAACAAAAGGTTAGCAAAGGGTTAATAAAAGGTTAACAAAAGGTTAACAAAGGGTTAATAAAAGGTTAGCAAAGGGTTAATAAAAGGTTAACAAAAGGTTAACAAA